GGGAGAGAGAGGGAGAGAGAGAGGGAGAGAGAGAGGGAGAGAGAGAGGGTGACCAATCCTGGCCAGGCAACTACGGGATCAAAACACCTAAAATTAATGCCCATTATGGCCATTTTATCCGGTATCCCGGTTTACTCAGCTGTAATTTTCAACTAAAAATTTCGCCTATTTCCGATTGCAAAATATAATACAGGAGTCAACAGACCCTAAAATGAATTGATTCCAGATGAATGTAGGTAGTTTTTGAAATTACATAGTTTTTTCATAACGTCGAGAGAGACGATTGAATTTTTAAATTCGTTCAGAAGCCCGTAAAATAATCCATTGATAATTTTGAGGCGTTAATTCTCCGTAAATTTCTTTTTTTATTTTTTGATTTGATCTATTCATCGTTTTGAAATATTTTCCGCTTAATTTCATTATTAAGTGAATGAAATTGACTAAAATTAATTTCTAATAGATTATTTTCAAGTTAAATGAGAATGGTGGATTCTCATTGGTGGCCTGTCGCTAGGGTTTCCCCGTTCGGGTGGTATTGCGATGGAGGGAGTTTTTGCCCTGACAGATTGGTACGATTGCGTTTGTACATGAGCCTTCAGCCAATCAGCGTGAGGGCAAATAAGGATACATTGCGGAGATAGCAGTGACTACCCACTGGTTCAAACCATTTAACTGTAACTTGACTCATCTCACCCACATGGGACAGAACTCTCTCCCCAGGAATCAAATCTCTTCTCCAGTTCAATGTTGACTCCAAGGCTCCAGATACCTCGACGTCAGCCGATGGGTGGTAGAAAAGTGGCTCAATACAAGTCATATGTAAAGATTAAAAAATAAAATAAGAAACAAAATTGACTCTCACTTTGCTAGAGTGACTTTCCGTCTGGCCCTCCTAAATTTTTACCATTGAACGGTCGAAAACCAAATAGCACGTTACAATACATACACCATGTAAAAATAACATTCGGATTTTTTACATCTCATTTATTTACCCTAACCCCAAAAAGTGGAAACTTGAATTGAATAGAAAGCTTCCATTTGGAAGCAAAAGCACATTCTAATAGTTCATCAACATTACTTCAAGTCATTTCCATGCAAAATTGTAAGTTGCAATAACAATGCTCTCATTTCTGGAATTATCATGTTACGTAAATTATCATGTCTCAGGAACCAGTAGATTGATTACGCTGGAATTTTGTACAGAACTTTCTAATTTTTCCTCTAAACTCGACTTTATTGTATAATATATGGGAATGGAAATTTTGAGGAGAAACTGAATTATAGCGATATCTTTATAAATTGCCATAGTTGTATATTCCTCTTTGAATACTCATTGATAGATGATGTCATCACGTGTATTTTCCACTCAGGAAAATTGAAATCAATCTATATTTAGTGAAAAAGTTTTTAAGAATAACTTAAATATCAATATCCTCAAAGAAATCATAAGATTGCGCCTATCTCAAATCCTATATCCAATTTTTATTTAAATAGCTAATTGCTAACGTGGGCTATATTTCGGCTGCAAAAAAAAATTTAATCCTTCGATTTATTTGGATAATCAGCTTTAATACAGAGATAACTACAAATTCATCAATTGATGTATAATAAAGGTAATGTGGGAAAAAAATCAATGGAAGATAATTATTTTCAGCTGTCGATCACCCAGAGAACGTTTACTCCAGACATTCCTAGGTTGACTCGTCCAAGCATTCCATGATCTCGGCTTTTTATGATGTAGAAAAATAGTAAGAGGGCGTGGAACATGTTGTTTCGTCCCTGAGGAAAATTTAATAACGTTAAAAAAATAAATTACACAGTACAATGAAATTTTGACTTTATCTTTCTTAAAGGAGAAACTACCCGCATTAGACAGTATTTTTCCGGGCTCTTGCGATGGGGTTTTTTCACTGATATCTATACAGTAGAAACTCCCCAAGATTTCAGCTTCGGGAGAACGAATTCCACGTATTTAAATCATGGCAAAGTCCGTGCTCATACGCAGATGGTTTGACTGAGAAAGAAGAGGAAAAGAAAGCGAGAATTTGTTTCAATCCTTTCGTACCGCTAGTGGTTTTATTACGCATTTCTATTGCGCAGAGGAGCCTGGACTCTACTTACACACGCTTAGACTATTAATGGTGGGAGGAGTCAACTTCCCCAACAGAAATCTTAGAGAAGCAAAATCATAGGGAGTATCCACTGCATAACTGGATGCGTAGTTCTCTAAAGCATTCCTGAAGCAAATGGAAGATTCACCCAGCGCGCATATTACCGACGATGGTACTAAGGCAGACAACAATGTACATTCGTGAAGATGATGATACATGGTATGATGACGTAGGAAGAAGGTAATATGACGGTTAGGATCCAGAAATACTTTTGACATTTTACCACCTTTATGCACTGTAACATGATAGAAATCATTTACTGTTCCTCGCCTGAACTGAACGCGGTTCATTGGGGGGGAGGAATTAGTATTTCAACCCCAGCGAGGAGTCGGACCGCTTTTACAATTTTAACCCAAGGCCACTTTTACAATTTTATTTTCTTTCATTTACCCTTTTTCTTTCCTCTATCCTTCTAATTCTAAGGCTATTGTGCTCACCACGGGTTACGCGTGAACTTCGAGACGAGGGGAGTGGAGCGGAGTATCGAGAAGGAGCTACGAAGTCGGCAGATGACGAGTTGGCACACCTATGGGCACGCACACACCGAGTCTAGGAGACTATGGGCACGCACACACCGAGTCTAGCAGACTCACACCAACGTAGACGCGGGAGATGTTAGACGCACGCCAGCAGGCAACTCAGGCCTCGACGTGTGGACCCCCACCACCTTACCGATGATTCTGTAGCGCAAGGCCACAACATAAGAAAAACCTATCATGTAGCATCGAGTGAGCAGCGGATTATGTTGGCTCCTATGCCGTTCAACGCGGATCATCGTTCTCGACCGCGAGGCGCAAGTTCCAGCTCTCTGGGACTAATGAACTAAGAATTATCATGGTTCAAATATTCATCATTCAAAAGTCACATTTGAACGCGGGTATCCATACTAAGATCGGTTAATTGGGGTGGGGAGAAGGAATGAAATTCAAGGTTTGTCAGGGTTTTAGATTGCCCTGACGGGCACTCTTCATTGAGATTCAGTCCAGTAAAGTCGCTCTGCACAATTTAGTCTTTTTACGCTCTTAGAGCTTTCGTGGAATAATAAAAATTATATTTCGCTGTGGTGCCTGGATTTCCCGACCTACATTCCGATATCGCCGTTGTACTGAGGGTCCAAACCAGTTGTCCTGGAGTTTTTTTCGGGGTTCAAATGGTGAGCGTAATCAAATTTTTGTGAGTGCACGCGTGTTCTATAAAGTCTATTCTTCTGTCACCATTTTGGCTCCATTCAAGTTTTAGCATTCGAGCCTTTCCCTTCGGGACGCGGCACTCATTGGTCTTTGACCTTGTTTCTTTATTCTGTATTCTTGAACATTTATATTATTCATTTGTCTCTTCACCGATTATTCGGATTTTCTTATTTGGGAAATTTTGTTCTCTTTATTCAAGTGGCCTTCCTGTCGTCGCGCTCCTGGTGATTCTCGTGGGCACTTGGCGTCTTCCATGCCCTCGAATAATAATAGTTAATAAATAATATTGGCTTTATTGCTTTTGGAATTAATTTAAAGTAATTGATGTTCAGGTTGTAAATTCAAAATTGTTATCCAACTCTAGTGGTTACCGTTAATTTTGACTGAATTATGTAATTCGTCATTAGTAATATTCATCGAGTCATTCCGCGTGTAGATTTTCTCTCGTGTGTCTAACTGATATTCAGGATCCAGTAATTCGCTTCTACCTTGAAGTTTTATAATTTGTGACTTCGAACAAATTAATACTTTTGATTGTGTCGAGCCTTTGCTCGCGGGAGTCCTTTCCGCACCTGTGAAAATTATTCTATTTTTTTGTATTTCTTTTTTTTATCATTGCATCCTTACAAAAATTCTAACTCTTTTTATGCTAAGTAAAATACATTTGAATTTTATGTCCGAATACTTCATGGTGTTGAAATGCATTAACTGTTTCGTCTGCTTCCACACGCCTCCATGATTTTTCCTGACTTGGTCGCGGTACCCGCTTCAACATTGTGACCTTGTCCTTTGCCGGTTAAAAGAACTGGTACTCTTTTGGTAATTTTTGGTTCCTCTCGATTTTCCGGTCGATTTTATTCCAGGTGGAGAATTGCAAGAGGGTTGCTGAAAGTTAGTGGACGACAACGCACATGATTCCCGCGTGTGTCGTTGAAAAATACGTCATAGCACATGAAAAATGATGAATGAATGAAAAAAAAACTCCCGTTTAAATGGAATACATCAAAGGATTATAGGATATACAGGTCAATTTCTGGAGGATTAGTTTCTGGACAATATCTACCTCCACCGAATATTCCATAAATAATAAAATAGAAATTCTACTGATTATCTCATTTGTCTATTATATTACTCGTGTATAATCATGTGATTATTTTTTTTCTGTTGATCGAAATTTAATAAATAAAAAAGTATGGCCCAGTCCTCCAGAAATTAGGGGTTTCGGGTGCATTCAACTCTTTCTCAATGTAATTATTCTTTATGATATTTGGACTTCAAATAATATTTGTCTGCCAATTAAAACATTCTTAAAAGTATGGAAACCATCATTTCCCCCTTTTTCGTAATTCTTTTATTTGAGATCCTGCCACAAAACTCGGATTTCCTTTGACCGTCCAGCAGTTGACCTATGCACCCTAGTCCTGTTTTATACGGAATTCGTTTCTTTTTGCATAGTCTATGGACTTGGACAACTCATACAGTATGTGGGTGGATCAATAAGTACCCGTGTTAAGAATGAAAACCTAAGTTTTTTACAATTTTTATTTCTGATTTTTTAAAGTAATCCCCTTTTAGTGCGATACACTTTCCCCAACGTTCCTTGTTCCTTATTAATTGCCGTTCCACGTGACACCCTTACGGCTTCGGCTACTCCGCGCACTTTCGTACGGCGATCAGCGAGAATAATGTCATGGAACTTTTCTACGTTTTCTTCATTAACCACATCTGCCGGGCGACCTGGGCGCTCCTCATCAAAAACAGAGCTACGTCCACGTGTGATTCGTTAAACCAATGTCTGACGGTTGTCATAGATGGTCAAGAGTCCTGGTAGACAGCATCTAACTTCGCTTTGATTTCTTTGCACGCTTTCCCCTCAAAAAATAGGGAGCAAATCACAGATCGACAATACTCTTTTTCCATTCTTTTGAAAAACACTGACATCCAAAATAAAACTAATCTAGCAATCAGCCTGAAATTTGGTGTGACGCTTCACAGATGAAAGTATATGATGGTACTACAGACTTGCCCCAGTAATGTCATCTATCGTCAATCCCGGGTACTTATTGACCCACCTCTTCCCCGTTTGACCGTCATCGTAATTTGACCCGTATAAGCGGTTGACCCTAGGTCTCCAGTTTGAACCTTATATGAACCTTATGATCGTTTGACGCATACGCATGCCACTAGAATTTTCAAATGAATTTAAAAAAATTAAGGTTCGGAAGTTATCTTCAGGGGTACGACTTAGTAATGACACAATCTTTTGAAACCAAAAAGAAATGTTTTTCCGCACATCGACGAACTTCTAAGACGGCTCCCCGACCTGGCCAAGGCCTTGATGGTCGAACATATAAATCATTTTGGAGCAGCACAAGAAAAATTCTATGTCGGCATAATAAAATTGCTTAAGCCACTATCATTTTTTTTTAGAATCAACGAGAAAAAACCAGGACCTACAAATTGACATCTGCTAACGGAGAAATTTTCCCTTGGCGTCAAAGAACTATTCTGGTCATTTCCTCCAAGAATTCTTGGAGGGATATGAATAATTTTCGCGTGAATTTAGAATTTTACCGATGCTCTCCTGAAATAACTCTGACCGTATAGTCAGGTGTGTCTCGTTTCTAGGGCTCTGCACGTGAATTTTTCTCGGTTTTCTTCCGTTTAATGACGACCAAGAACAAGTTCTGTTTGATTTCTTCTTGGAAGTATGAATTTTTTCAAAATGTAAAGAAATGAAGACGAAAGCCAAGTTAGGAATTTCAACTGAATGGTCATATTACACACTCAAATTTCTATAAGAAAAATAGTTTTCTATTGAATAAGGGTTTGAAAGAAATTCTCTATGAAATAAAAAATAGAAGGAGTACCAATCCCCTTGGCGCGGATTAGAAGATGGAGGATTAGATTGATACGAGGCAGTGAGTGGAAAAACTCCGCGCGAAGAAAATTGGTCCTCCTTCTATTTTTTATTTCATAGAGAATTTTTTTCAATTCCGTATTCAATTTAAAACTATTGTTCTCATAGAAATTTGAGTCTGTATTATGACCATTCATTCGACACTCCTGACTTGGCTTGCTTTTTCAGTTTTTTTTGTTTAGAAAAAAGTTGTACTTTTAATTTAGAACTAAACAAAACTTTTTCTTCGCGCAGTTGTTTACAACAACATTTGTTTTTCTTTTTTAGACAGATTTTATTATATTTTTCAAAATAAGTAAGGAATCGTTTTGACATCCTGCAAAACTTTTTGTTTTCAATTCAATTCAACTAATTTATTTGTCACAAGATAGAATATCTTTTCAATTAACAATTGAGACAGGCCTTTTTGGGATAAACACTGTGACAATTTGATTGTCAATTGGTTCTATTGTTTTTATTTTTATTTTAAAAATTAATTAAATTGATACCTGAGTCTCG